GGGGGGAGGGGTTTCTGTAAAGCTCTAGAGAGTCTCGGGGCGGGGCGGGGCGCGCCGTTCATACCATGTCTTTTCTATTGCAGTATTTGTCGCTCTAATCTAGACGAAGACCGAAATGTAGAACCTCGCTCCTCACTGCAGGCCCCTCTGTCTCTCTCTCTCCATCTCTCTCTTTCTCTCTCTCTCTATCTCTCTCTATCTCTGATTCCTATACATGTATACAGCTCAGTTGTCTCCATCTCTCTCCAGTGAGTGTACACAAGACGACCCCCACTGCGTCCATCCACACACGCGTACCATCGCAACTGGAAGTGTGTCGATTTGATAATTTTCACGGGGCTGTTGTGCTTTTGTGAACTTACTACCTGTCTTTTGCTGACGGTGATCCACCGCAAACGCGATGGAGAGGCCAGCCAGACGTGTGATGTCACTCTCGCTCTCTCCCACCATCATCTAGCCAGATTGGTTGGTGTGTGTCCGCCTTATGTGTTGGTCGGTCCGCGTGTGGATGGATGGAGCGGGGAGCGGGGTAGACGGTTGTGCTTGCTGCTGTGTGGTGTGGGTGCTCTGAGATGAGATCGTGGATGGCATTTTTATCCCATCTGGTGCTGTCTGTCTGTCTGTCTCGCTCTCTGCATGTGATGTCTGTGTTCTGTCTGTCTTTGTGGTGTATATGGTGCGTGCCCGTGACTTGTGGTGTGTGGACGTGCGTGTGAGCATGAATTGTTGTGAGGCTTCACTTGTGTCACAGCGCGGAACTGGCATTCATGCGCACGCACGGAGTCCATCGAGGTTAGTCTACATCACACCCACTCACTTCCTCGGCCTGCCTTGAGCAAACGGAGTTCATTCATCTCATTGTCAGTCGGATCACAGGACGGTCGCTCATATTGCAAACCTCGGCAGCGTGCGCACACCATCCTACACACGCAGACAGGGACAAGACGTCAATGGTCCGACGTGGCCCTTTTGTGTGTTGGCATGCGTGTGTTGACCTTGTCGACGATCTTGACGACGAAGCTGCTCTGGCTGATCAAAAACCGACGCTTCAACTCCTGAACACACACCACAGACACAATATCCCATCCGCCATCCCTCTCTGCGTGTAGTTCATTCTGCTTACGTCGAAGCATAGCTTGGCGACTTCGATGGCCTCTTCCTCCGTCATATCCTACAGGCACACGGACACCAAAGGTATACACAGACTGAGACAGGCAGGCAGGTAGGCATGCGTGTGCGTCTGCACCGGTTTCCAGTGCCGATCGAGGATAGACATGACGAAGTACGCCGCGTATCTGCATGTGCACCAGATTGACACAGGTCACGGGTGCGATGCGGCCCCTCCCTGTCCTTGTGTGTGAGAGGTGGTGCTGTCCGTCGGCGTGTGCGTACCCGTGAGCGCCTCTGCTGACTTTGGCCATAGATGCGATGTAGTCCATCCAGTAGAGCGAGGGACCCTCCTCGTCATGCCCAGCCAACAGAACATTCACCTGACGAACCACCCGACAGGCACCACAGACGGCAGCATGCAATATCCCTCCCCTCCCTGCCCACTTGATAAGGGTTCCTGCGCAGGTAGTATGCCAACTCCCCACTGAGTGGACGGACGGGACACACGCGCACGCAAAACGGACACATGGGTATTATCGTCATCGCGAGACAGCTGAGAGCTGGCTGACCGTGTGAAGTTAGCCGCGGCCCTGACGCTGAGGGTGACTCCATTGCGCAGCCGATACAGGTGTATGTTCTTCTGAATGTACTCGCAAAACATCGTCCTGTCGGCTGCAGCAATCCACCAAAGCAAGCACAACACGGCAGCCAGTCAAAGAATGAGATGAGATGAGATCAGGCGACACATCTGCTCCTCGCCTCTCACCTGAGGGGCCACCTGCCGCCATGAGTTTGTTCTTGTCAATGGTGATGATCTTGTCCTCATCATCCTGATATGCACCAACACAACCACGCAGCAGAGATGCACACGCGACGGCTTCACTCTGTGCGTGTCTGTGCCGCGTGTGGCGGACCTTGAGGCGCAGCACGGAGAATTCTGCGTGTCCATCGGTGGCCAGCAGGACGAAGTCCTTGCCGCGCAGCCCCAGCGCCGAGTCCATCACTCAGCCACAGCACAATTATCAGTTGAAAGGCGGGAAAGAGAGAACTCTTTCTGCCGGCTGGTCGCTCTCCGTCGGCGCGTGTGCGTGGCGGGATGGGGAGAGATCTGATTTCAAGAAAAGCTCGCAAATATGCGAGCTCTGGGGAGCTGTGGGGGCCGTCATTCCGAGACGGAAATGGTGCCGATGAAGGTGAATGTCATCTCACCATACACACACTCACGCAAACCATGACGTGAACTCATCGCTCTGCAAAGGTCAACAAGAAATCGAGCTGTTCCGGTCCACAATGGCTGGCTGGTCGAGTGCTTTGAGCCTTGATGAGGATCCACTAGAGGCCAATCGAAGAACCTCTGCACCCAGACAGGCGCATCTCGGCGTCAGACCGCCATCCGGCCAGCCGAAAAGTGAAAAAAGTCCAAAGTGAGCGGATTTCACGCGATCTGACCTCATCTGCGGCAGCAGCAATCCTCTCTCCCTCTCTCTGCCTCTAATGGCCTCCTGTCGTCCGCAGAAAACGAAATTCAAATCCGGCGAGATTTTTGCGAGCTGAGACG